TAATGAAAAAATATTAGTTCTTACATGAAACGATGCAAAATTAAATGCTTCTTCTGACCAATATAGATTGAGCTTGAAACATTGCCTAAAAGTCGTATATTTTGAGCTAATACCAAACAACTATGAGCCCAATGAAACTTCAATACTTTTTTGCAGGTATTCTCCCTCAAAATAGCTTATAATCCTTACAGTTTGACTTCAATTTATTGTCAAAAGAATCGCCACATTTTTTCACATAGGATGGGCAATAAATTGACTGAAAATATCCTATGGGCCAAATCGGCTTCTTATGCGCCCCTGTCCTTTGTTAATTTATTTTAGCATCAACATAAAATTTTAGTACAGTTACAACGCAGGAAAGTACAAATAGAAGTCTTTTAGATACATGGTTACTTCATCATTATATATACACTTTAAGTTACCACAGTTTCTAATTGTTCATATTTAATCTGTAATTGTATGAGAGAAGGTAGACCTGTGTTATTATCATGTAAAAATTCTTCAACATAATCGATATGAACATTAAGAACAACGAGAGTTTTGAGATGTGAATACACGATGATAGAGGAGTTTTGATCATTATTATCATTGTCTAGTTGCCAATATTGTTGCTTATGTATTTGAGGTATCAAATTAGTTAGCCTTAGCTTCCTCAGCGATGGAAAGGCTTGAGCAATAAGAATAAAAAAAATCATGTTCAAATGACAGAAGGAAATATTTCACCTGGAAAACCGTTAGTAGTACCATCCATATGTCCCATCGTGAAAGAAAATGAAAAAACATTACAAAATTCAGTTCCATTCAGGAAATAATCAGTCCCGTAGTTGACTTGAGACCATCTTCTATTAATAAATGAACGTGGAATAGCTTCAATGGATTAACAATTAACTCTATTATTAATCTCATTCATTGAACGAATATAAAAAGTAAAAGTGTTTGATCGAGGCATATGAACGAGAATTTCGTTGAGATAATTTCCATGAACAAATGTTCCTTGATTTTTTACTGTGAGGAACACAGTAAGCATTTCCAAGTTTGACATACGACGAAGAAGTGGCGCGATTTATTATTATGATACACAAATGTTGATCTATAAGATATTAATGAAAAACATTCAAGGTTGAACAAAATCATCTATGAAATAAATAAGAAGTCTCAAGATTAAAATCTTAACATTTATCTTCGAAAAAGAAAGGCTTTTTTCTGTTAACTAAAACAATTGTTAATATATAGTGCTTTACCGTATTATCAATTAATAATGTGGGATGGTCAATATGACGAATTGTGACGTTAAAAGTAGATAATTGACAGAGACGTCCATCTAGCAAAGCAAGACAATCGTCGAGAGTTAACACACTAATATTCAACTTGTGTATAGTCGATGAATGACAAGTAATCAAAGATAAACTATTAAGCAATAATGAACGTTGATAAAAAACAAAGTTACTAAAATCCAATGTAGTTAGCTTTTTACCAAAAGCAAAGATCTTAGCATAAACATTTTTACTCAAATCAATGGTAGATATTGTTGATATGTCATCACTCTTAAACGAAAGAAAAATATGTTTGATTTGTTGTTTGAGTAGGCGAATAATAGATGAATCATCTAAAAATAAATATACTATGAATTTGCGAATTTATTTATACAGACTGTTAAATATTTTTGTTTCAAATAATTAGAAAAGACAATTATTTGAAATAAATATTTGACGAAAGAAATTATTATTACAAGTTTCTTTAGAATTAAATGCATTAGAATATTAGAAATTTTTGATCGAAGCATATTAAATTGACGAAAGACTTAAAACTTCTTTTAGATGATTTCATTTTTTTTTTCAAATTTTCATAATTTGAGAAAAACGACGTTACGTCTCGAAAAATTTTCAATATTTAAAAAGTTAAAAATGAGACAGTTTATATTTTTAATAAAATTTTCTGACATATCCATCATTTATTCGAACAACATACCTGAGAGATAATTTGAGAAATTGTAATATTCGAGATTGTCAAGACCGAGAACACATAGATTAGGATAATCACCAGAAAAAAGAATAAGTTCCATAGATAAACATTCGAGAATCATTATTTTAATATGATGATACATTTGAGGAAGTATATATAAACAAAATCGATCAAGTTCCAATTTTTTTATAGAACAAATACGACCTGTTGACGAAGGGTGGGTGCGAGCGATCACTTCCATCTCAGCCACATCCACCGATAATCTATATTATAAAACAATGGATAACAATTACTTTGACAAAACAATATTTACCTAATTGTCCATTGAAGAGTACCTATCAAGTGCAAACTATATGTCAAAATAAGACCAATATCAGCCACTGAGAGATGATTTTGAAAGATATACACCAACATTGAGATCGTAGTAAGAATAGCAATAAAGAACAAAGTAAGAGTGTGGGTGTCGGCATGGTGTGGGGTGTGAGTGTGTGATATCTCGCTATCTACCCACACCCACCCTCTAACCTACCCTGCTGGTTAGGGCACGGGAGTCTTACATATCTGTACTTGGGTGCCTCCGTAATCCACTACCTTACACTGACAGCAATAGGGAATCAGAAAACAAAGTGATACTAAAGTTCGACATGATGTGAATATCAGCAAGAGAGATATAAACGATAAACTAATTAATCTCATATAGTAATCAGATCCAACTGAGAGACAGAGATGTCCATCGCGGCAGCGGCAGGCTCCTTTTAGAAGACATTGCCAAAACTTCATGAATTTGCCAAAAATTGAGTGTCCACAAACGTAACACTCTAAGACTCAATGAATCTCATCGATTAGTGACAAGAATTGTATTTCAATACATTCACAGCAATGAAATCCGAAACTTTTTTTCGAGTACCATCGCGGCAGCGGCAGACTTTTTGGAAATTCATCGCGGCGCGGCAGCGGCAGATTTTGAGCCGCGATGGAAATCTCTGCTGAGAGATCATCGAATGGAAAAAGAAAACTAGCCTTTATCAAAATTTTATTATTAATATTATAGTTGAAGAATCATCGTATATTAGAGAAATGTAGAGTATTACTTCTACTATTAGAACATATATAGAGAGAAAAGTTTCTTTAATCTTTATATCATGAATTAATATAGCTCCGCCATTACTTTCGCTATACCATAAGTCGATGAAAAAAAACAAAATTATGAGTTTAACATTTATTCGTTCAAACACTATTGTATATTTGTTTACACAAAACAAAAGGAAAAAAGCATGCGCATGCAAGAAGAAGAAAAACTGAATGGCATATGTGAACTATGAAAGAATGATAAAGAACAAATATTCACACCATAGAATCTTATAGTACTAAAATTCTGATATCTAGCAAAAAGTTTTCATAAAAAAACGATACTTGACATTGAATAAATTCAAATGTTTATTTTTGATGAATATGAAACGAAAAATGATTGATTATTTATAAAATAATCTTTTTATCATTGATAAACACGCTAAAACAAAAAAAGTAATAATAATAATCATGAATAAATTTCTTTATTTTTGTTTTACTGGAAAATTATTATTTGATGTTCGTAATTGTGAAAAATTCGATAATGAAAAATTTTGATTTATTTCATTTTGTGCTAATAATTTTTCTAATTGATCAAGATAAATTCTAACAATATGTTTTATTGAATTTAAACGATCAAATAATAATTTAAAATCATTTGTTTGACGTATTTGATCATGTGATAAAATCGATAATGAATTATCATTAATCTTAATTAAACGTTCATTAAGAATTTCAAGATCATCATGAATACGAATAAAACGATGAAGTTTTGTTCGATTTATATTTTGATTTATTTCATTATGATCAATTGGTTCTAATGAATGTGCTAATGTTTCAAGATGATCTAATTGAGAATTTATTTCTAATATTTCATGTTTTATATCTGTATTTATCTATTTAAAAAGTTAAAAAAACAAAATCATTCAAAACAATAAATCAATGAAATAAATACTTTTAATTCTCGATATTGACGATTTGATTTAGTTAATAAATATTGAAATTTATCTTTTATTGATTGAAGACGATGTTCAATAATTATCCATTCATTTGAATTATCATTAAATTTGTCTGCTAAATCAATAGTTGATTTTAAAAGTATTTCAAATTCATCTTAAAAATAAATATTTTTATAAATCACAAAAATTCTTAATATTATCATTACCTAATCGTTGATTTACATCAGATTTGGAATAAATTGTTCGTGATACTACAGAAAAAAAAATAAATGAATTTTTTTAAAATTCTCATTAATTATATTACTAACATAAATAATCAGAATTTGTAAATTCTTGAGCTGATTGTTCAAGATCTTCTAATTGTCGTTTAAAATGTCTCCATTGTTGATGATTTTGATTTAATTGATCATCTTTATCATTAGCTAAAACTTGTAAATGAGTCCATTTATTCATGATATCTAATTGAAAAAGAAAACAAAATGTAATAATTGAAATCGATGATTAAAGAGACTCTTACCAAGTACAATTGGATCATTATTCAAATCTTGAATTAAGTATGCACCTAATTCTTGTTTTATTTGAAGAATAAATTCACGTAATGTATCAATTTTTCTTCGAGATGATGTTAATATTCGATTCTAAATAAAGAGTTCTTTTTTCTTTTAATTGATTAAATAAATATTCTTACATAAGTAAAATCCATAGGTAAATTTTCAATTTGAATACCAATTGGTGTTGAAGAATGAAGACTTTCTTCTTTCGAGCGAAAATCTGCATTAATTTGAAGAAGAATATCTTCAAAATCAGCTAAAAGTTTATCTGCACGTTGACGACAATCATCCAATTCAATTTTATCATATGAACAAAGAAAACGATCTCGATTACGAAGATAACGATTTGGAGATCGAGATCCTAAAATTTCAAAATTCATATTTCGAAAGAAAACAAAATTATTTTTTTTTTTTTCTACATACTTGTTGGTGATGGAGAAGCTAAACGTTTACGTGTTGGTGATGTAGATGTACGAACTGGTGAAACACGTGCTGAACTCATTAAATCCAAATGATGCTAAAAATAAAGGAAATCTCATAAGTGACTATAAGTTGATTGATGATAGTTGCAATGGACACATCGAAAGAAAAGAATGATTCATAGAGCGAGTATAAGGACTTTTTTTTGAGATTTATCTATTGGTGACAAATAAAATATTTGAATTATACCAAAAGAAAAGCATAACTTTGAAGCGTTAGTCTCTATTCTCAGAATAATTCCCTCTGTATCATGATAAGATATACAGCGAGATTTATAGTAAGAATCCTGTAAAAATAAAGCACACAAGTTGCTGTTCACAAGTGATAGAATTTCACTCAGGTCAATCATTTACGATCATGAGCCGATCAATTATGGCAAAAAAGGACAACAGTTTAGTGTAAAGCTTTACAACTATCGTAACAGTATGACGATTGCTAACGGCATTCGAATATATTCGTAAATAGCCGTCTGTGTCAACGACTAGCCAGATATATATCGCTGAACACTGCATCTGGGCAATGTACTACGGCGATCAAACATATGATTATAGATACAAATCAAGGACTAATTAAGCACGGTCGTAAATGGTATGTTGTAACTATGATTGTTTTACAGCATAGATAGCATAGGAAACTGTGTTTGTTTTCGATCTATACTATACGATGATATATGAACATAATATTGTTTCTAACCAAAAGTTAATATATAATTGTTTAAATTTTATGTTACAAGAAAACTTTTTTGCAAATGAAAATTGTGACTTTTTTTAATTGAAAGAAAAACAATTGGTTTTTATTCTTACATCACTTGGATTCATTAAATTTTGTTTTAATTTTCTAATACGCTTTGTTAAATTTCTTAATTGTTGAAGAAATTTAGCTAATTCATTCATATTTATTGTTAAACCACGAGCATCAACAGTTTTATTAAGTAAATAATTAGCACATTTTTGAACATATTCAATTTTTGCTTGTTTTTCTTGAATTTCACGATCCATATCCTAAAAATAGAAACAATAATTTGATAAGAATTTATTCGAAATAAAATATATAACAAAAAAAAACTTTACATCTAATTGTCGAATTTTTTCATTTGTTGATGCTTCCGATAAATGTTCAAGATTTGTTAAAAGTACATCAAGATCTGTTAACCAAAGTACTAATGAATCTTGAGTTAATTGAAAATCACCATGAACACTCAACATATATTTAAGCTAAAAGAAATAAAATTCTAATTAATTAAAATAAATGCGGAAACTTCGGATTTAAATCCGAGAGTTATGTGTACTTCAAAAAGTGAATCATAAAAATCAATCATCCTAGACTGTCTGAATATCAAAATTATACTGTGAAATCTACCATTTAAAATGTTGATTTATATTGCGCGTTGACAAACCAATAGGATATGGGACCGAATACAACTCAAGTTTGAACTCTGCACCTTGATTTACTCTAAGAAAGTNATGATCTGGTCAAAAATTACAATTTTTTTTATAACTCAGTCATTTCTCGACGGATCCTTCTCATCTTCGAACTCGACCGAGATATTGTAAAGACTGAACCGTGCAAAAAATTTCATCGCGATCTGACTCTCCTTTCGAAAGTTATCGTGTATACTGACGGCCGGACACACAGACCGATTTTAGTAGTGTACTCACTTTTTGAGTACACAAAAACAAAAAAAAGCAAAAAAGAAATGTATAGTTTATACATGTTTTAGCGTTTCATGAACTGTTCCATTTAATGTTTCCCAACGATGATTAAGATCTTTTATTCTAATACGCATTTCATTATTCGAATCAGTTGTTGGATATAAACGAAGAATTTCAGAATAACTATTTGCTATTTGTTGAATTTCTTTATCATCATGATCTAATGTTCTTTTAAAATTCTGAGAAAAAAAAAGAAATAAAATAAAATGAAAAATAAAAAAAAAAAAATCAAACCTCAAGACTTTTATATTCATTACGAACACCTTGTAAACCATCACCACTTGCTCGTTTAACTTCCGTTAGAAAACGTTCATGATCACTAATCATTTTTGATACACGATTAATAGCTTCATCAATACTTCGCCATGAAACATGAATATTATCTAATCTGAATATTAATATCATAGATTTATCTATGATAATATGCCAAAAGAAGCTTACTCAAATTTTCGTTTCATTATTAATTCTTTTAATGATAACCAACGTTGTTCTAATGTCTGAATTGTACGTGATAATGAATCAATATTTCGTTGAGAAATATCAGTTTCATTTAATAAATTATGACCAAGTGCAAGAAGATTACTAATAACAGTACTATGCTTTTCAATATCCGTTTCGATTGTCTGAAATTGAAAAATAGTTATATATTTTTTTTTTCTTTTTAAAATGTTCTCATACAGCAATTGATTGTTGATGAATATGAAATTCATTCGCAGTTTGTGTCGTTAATGTTCGTTGTAAATTTGCTTCAATTGTATCCATCCATGAACGGATATTTTCAAAACCTTGTTCAAAATCATTAAACATTTTGTAAGTAATTTCTGTTTTTTTAATTCTATTTTATATTAAAAACAGAACAATAAGAAGCAATGCAAAAAAAAAAACAAAAACAAAGAACGAATTAAAATCAAACCTTTTCTCAACATGCTGTTCAACAGTATCCATAATATGTTCTAATTGTTCAATTTTTTGTTTAATTGTTTGTAATTGTGTTTGATCAGTTGATTGTGATTGTAAAAGACGTCCTTGAATTAATAATTCATTAACATATTTTCTTTTATCTGTAATAATATTTCTAATATCATTTTTTAAAATTTCAAGAGTTGATTGGATTGTTAAACCATCTAATCGTTGACTTATTTCATTATTAAGAAAATTTTCAAACCATTGAATAAATCGAACAAATTTATTTTCAAAATCTTGATATTCTGAACGTCGTTTTGTAAGACTATCAATTAACACTGTTAAAGTACGTTCAGCATCAGTCCATTGAATTTCAAGTAAACTAAATTATAACAAAAAGGCTCTTAGAAACATCCCTGAGAGATTAAGGACTATGCCCTGATGATCTCTAGTAGGGAGTAGAGATTTGCGGAGGACTCCGAAACCCGATTCCGACTCCGACGGAGTCAGAGTCAGGTTTGCTGAAAAAAAAATTTCTGGTTCGGAGTCGGAGTCAGTTACAAGTTCGACTCCGATATTTTTTTTTCGATTTACCAAAACTTAATTTTTAACATTAGTAAATAGAAAAATAAAGTGTAATATCTGCCACATAGATTTATATCACTTGTAGGACAGAAAGATGAGCGAATCACTTTCCAGTTATAACACTCGAATGATCAAGTGAGATGAAAACATAACAACTTTAGTCAAAAAACATATATTAATGTCATTCAAAGTACTGCGACTATCTTCATCATTAGTTCTTCCTTGTTTAGATGAAGAACATCCAAGGCCGGTAAAATCAGTAACAGAAACGCGTTTTTAGGAGCAAAACTGTGGATTTTTTACACATTCAAAAAAGTTTTTTTGAGGGGAAAAAGCGACTTTGAAGATGATAACATCCATAAACTGGTTTTTTTTAAAGAGAAACTTGAGATTTTAAGTGTAAAACGTGCGCATGTTAAGTCATTAAAGAGTCCTTTGGCTGCTGAGAACGTTTTATTTTTAAATGACATTGTTAAAAAATTTCGGAGTTTTTTCGGAGTCGGAATCGGAGTCAAAAAAAGAAAGATTTCGGAATCGGAGTCGGAGTCGGGTTTCGGAATGAAAAAAGTTGACTCGCAGGTCTCTAGTAGGGAGTCTAAATTATTAATCTTATACTTCAACATTTCTTTTAGATCATGTTTCACAAAAATAAGGGATAATAAGGCCATATTCGAAAAAAGAACAGAATTTTGCTTATAACTCATTGGAAATACTTTCTAGTAAGTCAAAAGTGAACAAACATCTTGTCTAAAAACTTTGCGATTAGACATTAAATCAATGAAAAAATATATTTCATTTAAAATTTTACTTTAATTTTTGTATTAATTGCCGTGTATCATCAGGATGTAGATCAGAAGATATCTTAAAAAATATGTTTTTTATTTTATTTTTTCTATATATTAAAAATAATTTTTAAAAGTTAAATTACATCAGTTATAGCTTGTCGAACACGTTGTAATTCTGTTCGATGTTGTGTAAGTTCACGATTTTTATTCTAAATTAAATTTATCTATTATTGAATGTTTTCGACAAAAAATTTAATTTACTTGACATTGTACAAGAAATTGATCAAAATCATCGGTTGATTGTTGTTGAAGTGAACGAATTGATTTTATAATAGTACTTAATTCATCTAATGTTCGATCAAGTTCATTATATCGAAGGAGTAACTAAATAATTAAAAAAACATAAACAAATAATTTTTTTTTTCTTCATAAAATAACAATGAAATTTCTCGATCCTAAGAAGAATAAGGATAAGCAAATGAGCAAGATAAAAAAACAAAAACAAAGAATCATGCATTTTCATGAGAGGAGTAAAATCAATAAACATGCATAAATATTTGATGCGTATCTAAAAAAACATATATTGAATATAAACTATAAAAATAAAATAAGTAAAAATAATTTTGTATTTTCATTGCATATTTCTATTCATGCGACATTTATTTACTACAGATTACCGTCTCCTTTCGAGAAGTTTTTCGATTCTATAATAAAATTAATTATTTATTTAGACTATATCAATAATAATAAGCAATGTAAAAAAACAAAATGTCGAAGTCAGTTTCATCAATGTCTTATATCTATAACTGAAGAAGAAAGAGCATTAATGCAATCTCTGCGGATTAAACTCCGAAATACCTATTTCGGGACACATTTCTTCGACACCATTTTACTCAATCCTTCATAAAAACAATAAAGACGGAGGGGGCGCAAATTTCAACACTCCCTTTAGATTATGTTTTTACAAAAGACATGTTCAGGAACGCTTTTAAACTTTTATTAGTCTCGATAGAACTTAACTAATGCAATAAGACTTATGTCACAAACGATATATAACTTTCCTTTGCACTTCGACATTGTTTTACATTGTATATTAAATACATATGAAACTTTTTGATAAAATTCTTACTGTAACAAGTGTTTCACGTTTTTGTTTAATATTAATATCAATATCATGAATTGCTTTATGTAAATCATTTAATTCTTTTTCTAAAATTGCTTGTGTTTTAGCATCTGCATGTTTAATTAAACGTCGATTTGTTTCATAAATTTTTTCTAATAAATTTTTTAATTCTTCATTTTGATTAATTGTTGTATATGAACCTTGTTTTATTTGACTGATTATATTAATAGTTGCTGTTTGTAATTCTTTTTGTTCTATTTCACATTTACTTTTTAATAAACGATAATAATCTAATAAATTAAAGAATTACAAAAAAGAAATTTCTAATAAAATTTAATTAATACTTTCTAAATAATTTTGATATGATAACCAATGTTTAATTAATTCTTTTATTTCTTTTTGTTTATTTAAAACAGTATTCATTATATTTTGCCAACGTTGTTCAAGTTTAATAAAAATATTTTGATTATCAATAATTTGTTTACCTTCATTAATTAATTCTTTTAATTCTTGTTGTCTTTGATTAAAATCATTAATTGTATTAGATAAATTTGTATCAATTTCAATTAAACCATGATAATTTGTATGAATATTTTCTTGTATAACAGATAAATTTTGTTCAATAGCTTGAATATAATCATTCCATTTTTGACAACGTTTATCAAAATTTAATTTATTATATTCATTTATTTCAATTTGTTTTATACGTGTTTTTATTAGTTCAATACAATGTGTATATTCAATAAGAAGTTCATGTAAATGTTTACCTCGTTTCATATATAAAATAAATTCATTTGAATTTAAATGTTCAATAAGATTATGTTTTGATTGTAGAAGATTATCAAGTTCATGAAGTTGTTTTAAATTAAAATTTTCATTTTCATCTGTAAGTTTTTGTGATTTAAGTGTTGTTTGTGCTTGATTAATAGCTTGTGTAAGTTCATTTAAATAATCTAAATAGAGTTTTTCACGATGTTTTAATTCATTACAATCACTTAAAAGTTTATTTTGAAAATTTTGTAATTCAGAATATTGATTTTTAATAACAGAATATTGAGTATCGATCTTTTTAGCTGCTATAGGAGGTAAATAATCGTTTAATTTTTTTGCACATTCATTTAATTTAGTAACTTCTAAATCAAGTTGTTCAATACGTTGTTGAAAATCCTAAATAGAAATAATATTAGTTTTTTTTTTTCAGCTTAAACGAAAAAATTGATTTTAATAATATTTACTTTAGATTTATCGAATAGTGAATCAATTTCTGAAGTAAATTTTTCTCGCTGTATCGCATACCATCTTCCTTCAAGTTCGCCAAGTCGATCAAGTAAATGAACATAAGAATTATTAAATTGTCTCCAAATATCAACAACTTCTCGTGATGGTTTAATTATTTCTTGTAAACGTTGTTGAACAATTGTCCATCGTTGTTGAATACGATGTGTTATTTCATTGATTTTCGAAGATGTTTGTCCATCACATTGACCAGATAAATGATGACCATGAACTGTTATTTGATCAAAATCATTTCGATGTGATTCCATTGCTTGTAAATATACCTAACAAAATTGAATTTTTTTCAAGATTTCACATTATTAAAAATAGTAGTTTTATCGAATTCTCTTATCAAGTTTTCAAGATAAGATTTATCATTTCAAGCAGTACTATTAATTAGCATTAGTTAATATTAATTAATGATAGTTATCAATACTGAATAATAAAATTGTTTACATGTAAACCCCTCCCCCCCCCCCCCCCCCCACAAATTAACCCCCCCCCCAAATACAACGGCACCCCGCAATCACACCCCCCCCGTCCGCCCGCTTACCTTCGC